CACACAGACACACACAGACATACAAACACATGTCATTGACCTTGAGCTAACTTGACCTGAAATGACCACAGCCAGCAAAAACCTAGTCGGATAGTGTGACAAAGAGGTTCTAGCTGGCTTGGCACCACAATACGGCAGCGTCATCGGTACATGATGAGCAGCGCACGTGATATTCCAACGGGCAACGGTGACCCCAAACAGCAACATTCTTTAGTTTGACCTGACCTGGAAGGTCAATGACTGACCTGATGAGGTAAAATTGGTATCATTGGATTCGTCACTTCCCAAAGAATCTGTTGCTCTTGACCGCAAGGCTTAAAATCTTGTAAGAAAAAATTGTGGTGATGTCGAATAAGATACCTACACAAGCAGCGGGCCAACCCATCATATACCGATGACGCTGCCGTATTAGTGCCAAGCGAGCTAGAACAGCTCTTTGTCACACTATCCGACTAATTTGCTGGCTGTGGTCATTTCACGTCAAGTTAGGTCAAGGTCAATGATATGTGTTTGTATGTCTGTGTATGTCTGTGTATGTACTGATGTGTGCACAGATCGGTTTGTGTGTCCCTATTACACTTGATCATGAACTGAGAAGCTTTTACTAACCCGCGCCCTGGTGTGGGTCTGAGCCACCTTCGCCCTGGTGGGGGGGGGCCAAAATGACCCCCCCCGTCTAACTCGAAAACGAAGAGGGCTAGGAAGACGCGGAAAAAAGCAAACGAAAGCCCATAACAAGTACGTTCGAAAGTATTTCGGTCATTTTTTCGCTAAGGTCAATATTGAGGTCGCTAGAGGTCATCATAGGTCAAATTTCAGTGTTTTCGGTGTTGCCGGACATATTCCGCTGTAGCTCGGAAACTAGAAGAGCTAGAGAGCCGCGGAAAAAAGCAATCGATAGCTCTTTTCAAGCTCTTTCGCCAAGGTTCGTCAGATTTGACCTCAGCTCAACGGTTTGGCCTACAGAGGTCATGCAAGGTCAACTTGGCAAATTTCGTTGAAAATGTTTTTAACTATAGCATGCATTCACGAGAAAATAGAGAAACGATTCATGCACCATCGTGCTTGGCTCGTCGAGACGCGTCGAATGATATATAGTTTGACCTCGAAAGGTCATTTTGAAAATTTGACCTCAGGTCAAGGTCATGACCTTACCGAAATAGGTCATGCTGCATATCATTCGATCCGCATTGACGAGACAAACACGATAAACGTCGAACGGAGTCTCTATCTCTATTCAATAACAAGTAAGTGCAGAAAAACCGCTGGTGACCTCTGGTGACCAGGGAGATGACCTAGCGTGACCTCAGCGAGGTCACAAGCAAATGGTTTCACATGGGCTGTGATTTGCTGACCCAAGACACTTCAATAACGAAATATAGGAACAATCACGCCCGATTTAGCTGAAAAACAACTACTTTTCGATTCTCCCATTGACTTATAATGGGGAGCAGCGATGACCTGACCTGACCTTAGGTCACATTTATAAAAAATCCGAGATAGCCATTTTGTAGAGCTGGGTGACATCTTCAAGTACTGTAAATTTTACATCGATCGGATAAAAGCTGTGCCTTTGAGAGAGCTTTGAACTTTTTTAGAGGTGGTGTCAGTTTTGGTGACCTTGTGACCTGACCTGACCTGACCCGAACCCCCCAAAAAAGGACATGATGTAAAAATGTTGAATAAACAGCTATACAAAGTTTCAGGGCGCTAACTCAAGTGGTTTCTGAGTTATCGCTGAAAAACCACAGGGGGGGGCCAAAATGGCCCCCCCCCCCACCAGGGCGAAGGCTAAACATACAGTCAAAGAAACTTCACGAAAAGTAAATTCAGCTTGCCTAAAGCGCAATAATTTTAGATGACCTAGGTTGACCTTGACCCTGACTCTGACATCTGTACATCGCAGAACAACATGTTCAATGATAGGTGGGAGGTAAGACTGGCAAAAAAAAAGCCGAAATCAGCGTGTCAAAAGCTCACAAGGCCCATAGCCATCGCAAGATATTGGGTATTCGTCATTTAGGACATGACATGACCTGAAGAACAAGGTCATATCTCCAAACCCAAATGCCGCAGAAGCTTGAAATTTTCAATGGACGCTGAGAAAAGATAGAAAAGCAGCTATACAAAGAAAATCAGGTTTCTAGCTTTAAAAATGTTAAGTGTAGAGCAGAAAAACTAACTTGGGGGTGGCGACCCTCCCCCCAGGTGCCGGCGAAGGTTAACCCTCACACTTTCTGGGGTCGGCTTACGGCTAGATTCCTTGCGCAATGCTGTGCCGTTAATTTTTTTTCTATTATAAAGGCATTGTGTTTTATTGTCAAAAGTGAAAAAGCCAGAAATTTTCGTCGATTTCGGATGCCGCGGGGGATATTTACATGCAATGTCACCCTGCTGGCCTGGATCCACCAGTAGGGTCAGGTGACCTACCATTTCTTTATCGATATTAAAAAAAAAATCATGGCATCAGAGCTGTGACGAAAAATAAGTGGCCTAAATCCGATGAGAAAACTGGATTTGGGGGTACCCCATGTTTGGCTTCTGAGCCTCTGGTCCCCCAATGAAAATTTCTTAGAGGAGGCCCTGGCGTGGCTCGTAAATTACCGCTTCCGCAATTGGAGGCCCCTAATTGCTTGGAGGCCCCCACGAAATGGAGGCCCCCTTGGACGTTTGGGACCCCAATGGTGATGTCAAAGTTTCACCCATGCAGCGGTGGCGGCTTGTCAGTTGTTAACGTGCCTTAACAGACGTTGCGAATAGCCCGCGCTGGAATCGCATGGTTGGGATCACAACGCAAGTAAAAATGGGCTTCCTTGATGAACCTACTTTTTAAGCATTGTAGCCTTTGTAATTTTGGATGTTTTGCTGTAGATATTATTTTCTACATATATACTACATAGGCACTCACGTGCTTTAAATCGCGCAATGCAATTGAACCATGGTAAAGACAATAATAAATGAACTGAGAGCTGACATGCCCCATGCTTTGTGTGTGTATGTGTGTGTGTGTGTTTTTTTTTTTTGGCGAGTCGATAAAAGTGGTTTTGGACACTGGATGAGTTTTTAGGGGTGTGGTGAGGGGGGATGTAATTCCACAGACATTCTGTCAGATTCACTAATGCAGTAGGTCTGTGCGGTGTTTAGTTATCGGAGCATTCTTTGAAAGTCGTGAATAGGGCCACCGACTACCGAGTACCTAAAGCCGTGATATTCCCCCACAAAAACTTCTTTTAAATAACCGGGGATATGTACATGAGCAGAGTAAATGCTATTACGAACGCCTATCACAATGCTGAGCGAATAGGAAAATCCATAGATGGAGAATTGTGCCGCGTTACGGGTGCTCGGGCGCACCCAATCCACCGTTACCCCAGCGGTGACCTTGACCCGCATCGTCTGTCTCGGCTCCAAAGCCAAACCGGCGTGGAATTGGGAGCGTTCGAGCACTCATGGTCCAGCGCAATTCTCCACCTAAATCCATTCCTGATACACATTTGCTTGCTCATAGTCATGTAACCCCGGTAAATTCACCCAACTTTCATATTGGTCGCTCCATAGACAGATGGCCACAGAGATCAACTTAAAAGGCCACTGTTGCATTCATTTAGTGGAGATCATTAAAGAGCCGTGACAGGCCACAAGTCGCGTGACATCATACGTGTAACGACCAATGACGACGGCCTGCAAAACCCAATGGAAGCGGCTAGCAGCGTGCAATAAAACAGGGCGCTGCTTTCTAAATGTCTGTCGTGCGCCATAAATGAATATATTCTTTGTAGCCTGGCAACTCAGTATCTTTTTTTAACTATTGTACTAGTATTTAATAAATTCATAATTTTATAATTGTGCTTACGCCTTATGTTGATATTAGTGATAAATCCTTAGATAAAGTAAATCGATGTGATACTTAATAGAAAAATAGCAAACTAACGCACCATTCATTCGAAAGCTGGGGAACCTACTAAAAAGAACTACTAAAATTCCTGAGGAACCAAAGGATCAAATGGGGATTAAATAGATGCCTGCTATTCCGTCGTGAAAACGGCCTATGTGAACCATTTCAGCTACTAGTTTATGTAAATGGCACGCACTTTTATTCCTGCTAAATCTGCGCAACTAAATCACCGCTTTCCGTTTCCGGTCCGAAATCCCGGCGGCGCTGGCAGGTCCGCTTACATCATGCACAACACGCCTTTAAAGTCGTATGAGTTCGGGCCCGTGCTGGAAACGCCGCCGGACGGCGCCGTTTGTGCTGCCGTAAACTCGGTAACGGCCGCGGGCCGCCGACCGGGCCATTTCTCGGCGGGCCGGGCCGCGGAGACCGTTTCTCGCCGGCCGCCGATGGGGCAGGCAGTAGCTCATGTCGGCGCCACAGGCCGGATTCGCTGGCTCCGACAGAGACCGGAACTGTCTCCGGCCCTCGGTCGCCACACATGGTGACATGAACCAGGGCCTGCCATTCTGCCGCCGCGCCGCTGTCGGCCGGAGTTTTGGTTTGTTATTTTTCGGAGGCGGTGTGTCATGGTCTGGTTGAGAGCCGCGCCGGGGTGGCCACTGTATCACAGACCTCATAATCCGCCGCAGAAAGATAAACTGTGTTGTTGTGACACACATGAAATGATGCAGCGAGATGGCGGGCTTGTAATATTTCCACAGCCATGAAGGGCGGCTGCCAAAGTTTATGCGACATACGTCCCAGATAGCATTTGAAGCGTATTGAATGAATCCTGCATCGAAGCCGGATCGCACTGAATATTTTACAGTATTTTTAGAGACTGACTGTGTGCATGCAAAGTTGGTGTTTCCTCAGCTGCAGTGTGGAGATTCGGTCGTATGAATAGTTAATTCTCATAACTTTGTTGGTCTTCGGCTGCGGATTACCATGCAGAAGGATCCAACGTGTGTTGCGGTACGACGCGCAGTAGGGGCTCCGAGGTCGCTTAGTGAGCGTTATGACATCATTGTCCGAAGTATGACCCCGCCCGTTCCCTGTCGATCAGGTGCTGGAGGGCTGCGGAGTATCGGCTATCGAGACTGAGGAGTACCGGGGCTCCCGTCGGGTCACCGCCGTCGTCACGCCCCAGGGGCGTATCAAGACCAGCGCCGTCGTTAACGCCACAGGTCAGTCGCTGCACTCAGGAATATCCTTGGTCACTTAGGGATACTCGGGCTGGACACTCAGAGACTGTTAGGCACACCTGAGGACACTTGGACACTATAGGAGTCGGTGACACTCGGGGACTCGGGGACACTCGGGGACACCCCGGGACTATGGGTTACTCGGGAACACTCCTGGATGCTCGGGAATACCAGAGGACACCTGGACACTCCGGGCTATACAGGGGGACACTCGGCGACCATCGGGGACCCACTCAGGGACACCAAGGGCACCGGGAACATTTCGGACCTCGGGGACTCTAGGGGACTCTCGGGGACTCTCGGAGACCCGGGAAATTATTAGCAGCGTTGGCGTTGATGCGCGCTCAGATCTCTTATGCTGCTCCAGCGCATTCAAGAACGACTCTTGCTTGTGGACAGTTCAGTGGTGTGCAATTGGTTCCAGCAGCATGGAGCGCAGCTGCCACCAACGTGTGGCTCGTAATAATCCCTGGGACAGTTTCATATTGGGTCACAGAGTACTGATTGAACCGTTTGTGGTTTTGATGACGATGTTACGTCCAGCAGACGTCGCCAATTATGGTCGGCAGCTCAATTTGAGCAACCCGCTAATTTCTGTGATTGACCAAATGAATTTCGTACAGTACGCCTTCTGGCAGATAGGTCAAGGCACGGACTCCTTATGTTGTGATCTGAGGAGTCAATGCTCGGAGTAGGTTTGCTGCGGTCCATGGGTCATACAGAAGCTGGACTCAAAGTGTGGTTAAAGGTAGACTGCCACCTTTTTTCCACAAAACGGTTTTCACTAGAGCTGAGCCACCTATGTCCCAGACTGAAGTCGGTTTTCCGAAATTCGAGCCCGTTTGCGAGAAATCGGAGACCAAAGTTCAGTTTGATGCCATTTTTTTAGTCCAAGAAAACCGACATCTCTACCTGTTTATCGATAACTTTGAAACATGAATTTTCTTATCTTTTGGTAAATATATGTCAAAACTTTGATTGTTTCGAGATCAGAGAAGAATTTTGGAGTGTCAAAATAAAAGTTAAACTTATATATTCAGTAGTTCATTTTTTCCAAAAAAGTGTGGGAAATGGGGTTTAACATGGGCGCCAGACCCATTCCAAATGAGCCATGATTTTTAAATGTTTTACGAACTTAAATGCAAAATAAATTAAACATGGCCAATTTCTTATGAAATCATATATTAGTAAATCATAAAATACCTTACTTTTTCAAATAAAATATAATAATCTTATGACCTTGAAGTCTAGTGATGTGCAAACATTGTCGCTAGACATTAACCGATTGATAATTGTATGATAATCGACAATTTTTTTCGCGATTCACGTGATGATACTTTGTCAGGTGAATTCTAAAATTTTGTTTTGTCCAGGGAATAAATCATAGGCCGATCTGAGAAAACTTTTTGAAGGTGGCAGTCTTCCTTTAATTTACCTGGATTTCGGTGCATTTCCATCGTTTGCACTCGTGCTGGATGCCGTGGATCCGGCGGAGGTGTTTGAATATGCTGCTCACGAGCTGCTGGATGTGCAGCGGTATAGCAAGACAGCGGACCAGTGGCACCCACCGCCATGCAGCTGCCCAAAGGTCGCCGAACTCAGTGGGTGTCGGTGTAGCGGTGTCTGGAGAAGGAAGTCCACTCTGCGGTCAGGCGCCGTCCAAGGGCGGCGTTGGAAGTCTGCGCACCACTGCCGTCTCCGCGATACGAGGAAGTTGAGAGATGGTAGTTGCTGTGAATTTGTGATGGAATCGGGGCGAGTAGTGCTCTCCTCTGGATCAAAGTACGGTTGTGAAGGCTTTAGCTGACATATTTAAGGTCCCGAGTACGAGAGCGTTCGATCCTCTGTTCCTCTTCACACTGAAAACTTTTTTACCATTTCCTGGGGGGGTAAACCCGCCATAGCATGGTAGCTTGACACACAGACGTTTTTTACCACCTTCCAGATGGTAAATTTTATTCTTTCATGGAGAGTTAACTCGTCAGGGAGGGGTAACGTGACACCCAGACGTTTTTTACCATCTTCTGTATGGTAAACTCTTTTGATTTACTCTCGTCTAGAGGGTAACATTTTCGGAAGTTACGCTCTGTGGAAGGGTATCTCTTTAACGTGACCCTCCTCTAAAGAGTAGCGTGCCATCTACTCTGTGATTTACCCTCTTACAGAGAGTATACCCTTCTGGCTTACCCTCAGTCAAATGGTAATGCTTACTCTTCCCCAAAGAGTTTACCCTCCAGAGGATGGTAGCTTGACACACAGACGTTTTTTACCACCTTCCAGATGGTAAATTTTACTCTCTCATGGAGAGTAAACTCGTCAGGGAGGGGTAACGTGACACACAGACGTTTTTTACCATCTTCTGTATGGTAAACTCTTTTGATTTACTCTCGTCTAGAGGGTAACATTTTTCGAAGTTACACGCTGTAGAAGGGTAACTCTTTAACGTGACCCTCCTCTAAAGAGTAGCATGCCATCTACTCTGTGCTTTACCCTCTTACATAGAGTATATCCTTCTGGCTTACCCTTAGTCACATGGTAATGTTCACTCTTTCCTTCAGTGTAAATCCCCCAGAGGATGGTAACGGACCCACAGACGCTTTCTTCAGAAGCTTCGCGAAGCTTCTGTTAACCGGAGTTCATCAACTAAAAACATGATTCAAGAGCAACAATATATTTGGCATTCCGTACAAACAATACGAGGGGTTCACCAGCCATGAACATTGTGAGACTCTCCACTTAATCATACGGAGTTATAACTCCGTATGAATAAGTGGAGAGTCTCATTCGATGTTCATACGGAGTTATAACTCCGTATGAATAAGTGGAGAGTCTCACAATGTTCATGGCTGGTGAACCCCTCGTATTGTTTGTACGGAATGCCAAATATATAGTGTTGCTCTTGAAGCATGTTGATTAACTCCGGTTATCAGAAGCTTCGCGAAGCTTCTGAAGAAAGCGTCTGTGGGTCCGTTACCATCCTCTGGGGGGTTTACACTAAAGGAAAGAGTAAACATCACCATGTGACAGGGTAAGCCAGAAGGATATACTCTATGCAAGAGGGTAAATCACAGAGTAGATGGCATGCTACTCTTTGGAGGAGGGTCACGTTAAAGAGTTACTCTTCCACAGCGTGTTACTTCGAAAATATTACCTTCTAGACGAGAGTAAATCAAAAGAGTTTACCATACAGAACATGGTAAAAAAACGTCTGTGTGTCACGTTACCCCTCCCTGACGAGTTTACTCTCCATGAGAGAGTAAAATTTACCATCTGGAAGGTGCTAAAAAACGTCTGTGTGTCAAGCTACCATCCTCTGGGGGGTAAACTCTTTGGGGAAGAGTAAGCATTACCATTTGACTGAGGGTAAGCCAAAAGGGTATACTCTCTGCAAGAGGGTAAATCACAGAGAAGATGGCATGCTACTCTTTAGAGGAGGGTCAGTTAAAGAGTTACCCTTCCACGGCGTGTAACTTCGAAAACGTTACCCTCTAGACGAAAGTAAATCAAAAGAGTTTACCATACAGAAGATGGTAAAAAACGTATGTGTGTCACGTTACCCCTCACTGACGAGTTTACTCTTCATGAAAGAGTAAAATTGACCATCTGGAGGGTGGTAAAAATCGTCGTGTGTGTCAAGCATACCATGCTATGGCGGGTTTACCCTTCAGGAAATGGAAAATAAAAGTTTTCAGTGAACAAAGCGTTCAGCGATGCATACGCGGTAAATAAACATTACGATACAACTTGAATGCAACTTGAATATGAACACTTAAAATGAATACTTAAATATAAATAATAATAAAGCTCCCTCGAATTGGATAAGGTACAGTGCACAACATTTGAACTGAACGGCAGCGTTCCTGGATTGTCGCCCGTCTACGTGGGATAATTAAACTGCATCACTACAGTGCATGGCTTTTTCTAAGTCGCCAACAAAATGCATCACAACAAAATGTATGTACCTACTTACAACACTCTGCCACGTGGCCGTGCACGGGGTTCTGTTAGCCAGATCAAACAAGCACCACTCAACAGCACGCAATGCTCTATCACATCGGTACTTACAATAAAATGTCCGCAGAGGCTCCATAGGCGATGAACAGCACACAAGCACAATCACCAACGGCCACGTGGCGCCGCACCGACACTGCTCACACCCTCCCTCGGAGACCAACGGCGGAAAACTGACAGATGCGCGCGCGGCCTTCAACCTTCAAACGGCCGATCTCGTTTTTGATTGGCTGATTGATACTCTTTCAAATAATATCTTCACGAGGGTAAACAAGATCCACGCATGAAACGACCACCTGCACACGAGGCACGATACCCAGGAGGAAAGAGTTTTCGTCATGTCTAGGATTGCGAGAGTAATATTGATATTTACATGGTAATAACACTCTTTGCTGGCGAATAACTTCAATTGAACCACGTACCGTTACCATGCACATAATGGTAGCAGCGAGGTACCCTTTCAATATACTCTTATCTTGCGGGTTTGGTGAAAATGAATCCTCCAGGAGGTGGTAAAAAAGTTTTGAGTGCATCTCACCAGCACACACTGACCTGTCCTCCCGTCCGCTAGTTAAGTTTCCATACTGCCCGGCGCCCTGAGATGTTCGAAAGGCACCACCACCTCTGGCTGACCCGCCAATACCTATCTGGATTACACAAACACATTAGGTTATGTGAGTGCATCAGAGACACAGGCTCTTGTCGGTGTAAAAAGACTGGAGGAGTGGAAAAGACTGGTCTAAATCCAATGGAACGAGTGGCTGTCGTTGCAACATAATGGGACTACCAAATTGATTAAACGCTTCCTAAGGGAGCTCCGTTTATAGAAACATTTTCATTGTTGTCACACAGGGATTTTGTTTGGCAAAGCTGCTTCATGTTTGAGGAGCCGGTGTGCGTCGTGCACCGTACCACTGCAGGTGCAAGCCGGCAATGTCCGGCTGTGCGGTATTCACCACACATTAACGTTTTCGATTTGACGGCAGTTTCCGTTAACTGTTTTTGTTACTCTGATAGATAGAGCCTTGATGACGAGTTTGAGCATCGATTCAGTAACTTTGTAATTCAGTAGCAGTAATAATGCCATCCCCTACAACCTACTCCGCACTAGCTTTCTGGTTTTATCACATTTGCTGAAGCGCTAGGGTTTTAGATCGGGAATATTCGTATATAAAGACTCAGGCACCACAAGTTCGTATTTACCTATCATAAAAATTCATAAGCCTAAGAAGATGGCCATTCTGAAGTTAGACGGGGCTGTTTAAGGAGGCCATTTCGTTTTCCAACTGCTGATTCTTCGCTTTTTTAACTCAACTTAATTAACAGGCACATAGCACACCTCTCACGCCAGCTTGAGATCAAAACGACGGCCAAGTTTTGCGGCTCTGAGAGCTCGCCGCCGTCGACCGCGAGCTTATGCTGAATTTATCACAGCGCATTATGGTAAACAAGACTGACATTTCTCTGATAGAGAACAAATGCCACAAAAGAACGTTTTAGTGTGCAGAGCGAACCTAGTGAGCATTATCCGAAATTGAACTCCCTTGTCGTGTAAGCGTTGCCACGTTGTGTCGCAGGGAAATGTTTCATATGCGCACTTTGTTAGTGACATAAAGCTGGTGGTAGCAGCGGCTTTTATCGCCTGCGCACTCATGCCAGGTCGTAAAACACCGAAATCATTTAGCGCCCGGTACTCGGCGAGTGATTCTGAAAGGTCTCTCGTGATGGGCGACGCCCGAAAATGGGTTTGAGACTTACATCAGAATAAGGAAGATGTTAACGTCAGCGATAAAATGTTCATTCCTCACTGCATTATTTTTACTAGGCTTAGAGGATACTGCCTGCATCCGTTTCCACAAAACGGGTACATGGTCCAGTACGGCTCCAAGTGTTTTCGATCAAATATTTATAGGTGACTGTTGGTTTCAATGCACATTTTCTTATCTTTCCTACAGCCAGCGCAAACCACATCGGTATTCGATTCTTCACATTGCTTGACTTCTTCCGGCCACACCCGGATTACTTCAATCGCTTGATCCAACTTCTGACCTCATGGCTTGCATTCACGGTCCGCTTTTGACAGGAATCAGACTTTTTTGAACGGACGTCATCAATTTCTTGCTTTGCCCCGCATTACTTGATGTTACGTAATCTGGCATAATTTCATATGGAAATTTACTCGGGCTTTTCCGATTTCATATGACTTGGTCGGATCTTTTCTAGCCTGCAGTCTTTGACCCTCTTCTCTTTCGGTAGGCGCGTGGGCCAACTACATCACAGAGATGGTCGGCATCCACATACCGCTGATGGCCATGAAGCACGCCTACGTGGTCACCGAGAAGATCCCCGGCATCGAGATGACGCCCAACGTGCGGGACCACGACGCGTCGGTGTACCTCAAACTGCAGGGCGACGCGCTCAGCGTTGGCGGCTACGAGTACAACCCCATCATCATGGATCAGGTGGGTTTGGGGAGCGCCGAGCGTAGGCTGAAGGGCATCAGTTTAAATAACGCTCACCTTAAGAATGTCCAAATGTTTTGTCCTCTAGCGAAGGTAGCGCAAGTTCAGGAGAGAGCTAATGAGTATATTTTCGGAGAATATAGGTACCAATGCTTCATATTTTCATAAAGAACTGCAAACAGACTTCGGAAACAAAACGTAGCTGAAGTGAATAGCTAGCTTTGGCGCCAAGCAAGGCTGGAGGTGTTTCCTGCCATTTCAATCCCACCACTCCTCCAACTGCACTGAACCGGCGCCTGTTTTGTGGACGGTTTACCGTCTCCTGTCAGTGAGGACGCCGCCATGCCCTCCCCGGGGTGCTCCTGCCCGGTCCTAGAAGACGAGTGGGCGGTGCGTGCGGCCGTGCACAAACGGCCGTCTCTGGGCCGTCGCTCGGCCGCCGCCGGCCACGGCTGGACGCAATTTGTTGTCCGAGTCCCCCGGGACCGCGGTCCATCGGCGGTGTCAGATCCGACGTAAAGGACACGGAGATGGAGTCGTCTGGACGTGGCGACGGAGCCGTCTGGACACAGAGATGGAGCCGTCCGGACACGGAGATGGAGCCGTCCGGACACGGAGATGGAGCCGTCTGGACGACACGGAGATGGAGCCCGTCCAGACGACACGGAGATGGAGCCGTCCGGACACACGGCTCAGCGCACCGGACCGGTGCCGACGGCAGCGCAAAACGGACAGATGAAAATGGCGTCGCACGACCGGAGTGCGAGGCGGCTTTCCCTTTTAAAGCTAGAAGAGTCGTGGGTAAAAACTTATGGGTGACGGCTGCAAGACGGGTGCAAGTAATTCCTGACTGATAGGCATTCCTCGCGGGATTTCCTCAAAACGTTGAGTAACGACTCGATGCATGTAACGCAAAACTAATTGCTAACCTATCAAAGCGTGATGCCGAAAAACAGGACATACTTTTTACTGATTGCACTGAGCAGTGTGTGCAATGTCTCATCACCTCGCATCTCACGTATCTCGACTCTCACCGTTTCTCACGTTCCCCATGTCTCTCAATTCTCACTCCCACGCCCCGCAGGTGGACCGCGACTTTCCGTTCGGGCTATTCGAGCTCGATTGGGACGTGTTCATGTGCCACATAGAGGGGTCCATCAACCGACTGCCGGCCCTCGAGAAGACGGGCATCAAGTCGACCGTGTGCGGCCCCGAGTCGTTCACTCCCGACCACAACCCCATCATGGGTGAGTCTCGGCGGGGCCGGTGGGACCGGGACGGGGTGATGGGACTGGGCAGGGTGGAGGATGATGGGACGGGGACGGAGTGAGGCCGATGGGACTGGGCAGGGTGGAGGTCATGGGACAGGGTCAGGGCGGAGGCGATGGGACAGCGCAAGTTGGAGGTGATGGGACAGCGCAGGTTGAAGGTGATGGGACAAGGCTGGAATGAGCCCGATGGGACTGGGCTGTGATAGCTGAAAGAAGCCGGAGACGGGTGTGATGGGACCGGGCGGGTAAAACTGAATGTGGCTGGGTATATATGAGATGCAGCTGGACTAAGTAAGCGGGACGCAGCGGGACGGTTTCGGTGGAAATTCCGGTGAGAACCGGGTTACGTCAGTCTTGATAAACTGGAGGTGGGACGGCCTCACAAGTGTAATGAGACAGAATTATTCAATTATGGAAGCGTGGGGAGTGTAGATAATAGCGGCAAAATATTCCTTGTGTATGGTAAGTAACATCAAACATGATCGAGCAGATATAAAAATATAGTGGCATTGTTGTGGGTACATCGTCTTTGAATCTCATAGAGTCAAAAATCAAAGTTGCATTCATTCAACGTATGTTTGTGGTGAAGTGAAAAAAAATGATTTCGGTTATGTGACTACGTCCCGATGCCGAGGATCAGACGTTTTGTGATGTGTGTAAAACTCGGCCAAGCGAATATCATGAGACTTTGGGGCTTGTAGACCGACATAACCTCCTTCGCATCCCATCTGCCGCCTTGACTGTCAGCTTTCAGAGTTCTCGGCTAGCAAAAACTTACGTAAACACACAAAACTTTGATGCCTCACCAGCATCCCGAATATAACTCACAAACAGTACGGTGACTGACGTATTATTTCTACATCAAAGTTCAGTGTGGCTGAGTCCACAGCATTGTAATAGTTGTGTTACATAAGCCTCATAAAACTAAAGAATTGATAAAGTAAGTATGTTCGATGGTGCGACAATTTCAGTTACCCTGACTATGGAAAGTTTGAATGGTATTTTTATCTTCAGATCTGTTGTCTTTGATGTAGGTATTTATTGGGTATTTAATATAAAAATCGAAACAAAATATTACATAGCAACCGTTGTTAAAGTAAAATAGTGTGAACATTTTGCACAACAAAAACGATAAAAATTACTCTTCACTATCATGTAATGACTTTTTATCCGGCAATAAGTTGGTAGGAGCATAAACATTGTCATCCAAAATGTCTGATAATAACAGCTCGCTCACAGCGCTATCTAAAGTCATCTATCTTTCAGCACAGGGCTGCGTGCGATGTATCCCGGCAGTCAGCTCTGAGCTCGGCGCCGGTTCAAACCGGCGCCTTCTGCGTCGTCCCGTCGTCGAAACTCTCACCAGCCCGGGCGCAGATTTAGAGATTACCCTCTGAGTACTTTAGCCTACATGACGAACACTTGCGGGCCACTCAGCAGTCAGCAGTCGCTCTCTGCTCCGTCGCGGGCCCGGGGGGGGGGGGGGGCAGTGGCGCTGCAGCAGACTCGGACGGCAATAATATAACTACACGGCACTTCTACGAACGCAACCGGACCGCGCTGAGTGACCGGCCGGAGTGCCCCCCTCCCCCCCCCCCACCGGACGTCAAAGGTCAGCGCCGGCCGGGTCACCCGGGTCCGATCCACCGGTGATAACCACGCCACACTTTACTGGGCGCCGCCCCGACACCTGGCCGATATATACAGCAACAATTGGGCAGCTTATTAAACGCAGAAACGGTGAAATGTCAACGACAGAAACCTCCTCCGAACTTACTTTACATATACCGGATTTATGCTATGCTGAAGGGCAGGAAAAATATTCAATATGCAGTTACTTAATAAATAAAGTAAATGACCACGAGCTGCGAACACCTGCTGCCTTTAATCATGCTAACAGCTGAAGATGAGTCAATCATACAAGCAAAATGGTTCCCGATTGATGATGGCTCCAAGCCGCAAGGAGTTCTGAATCGCGAGCCAAAAGGTAGTTATGATCAAACAGCAAACTTTGCTGGCGCTAATAGCTTCCCAGCGCAACAGATGGGGTTGTGAATGTACTTATATTAATTACACGGGATTCACGAGTCAGGGTTTTTTTTCGTTAAACCTCAGCCTTCCTTGTCTACCCACAAATATAACAAAGGCTTAAAAGAGTACAATTTGCATTTAGCCATCAATAACGTTGTGAATGGTGATATTTCTCGCCAGTCACTGCTTGACATCAGCATTTCAATTCATCGAGTACAATGTCATCTTCCTCTGTATTTGAATGAAAGATTGAATAGAAGAATCTGACTATATGGCAGTAACATATCGCTGCTGCAGCTATATCTATGAGATCCCAATCCTGCTAGGCTGCCTCCCACATCTGTTGTCTTGGCATAACAACAAACTACAAAGTGTCGTTTAATCTGCATCTGTCACAGTGTTGACGCCCCGTTCCGGTGTGCGCCTCAGGCGAGGACCCTCGGGTGCGTGGCTTTTACCACAACTGCGGCTTCAACTCGAGCGGTATGATGCTGGGTGCCGGCTGTGGCTGGCAGACGGCCGAGTGGATCGTCAACGGACGACCCTCGCTCGACATGTACGGCTTCGACATCAGGTCAGTTCCGAGAGGAGAGGAGGTCAGCAGGTCAGTCCGGGAGAGATAAGGTCAGCAGGGTGGTCTGAGGAGAGAGAGAGGGAGAGAGAGAGAGAGAGAGAGAGAGAGAGAGAGAGAGAGAGAGAGAGAGAAAGAGAGAGAGAGAGAAAGAGAGAGAGAGAGAGAGAGAGAGAGAGAGAGAGAGAGAGAGAGAGAGAGAGGGTGATCAGGTCAGTTACGAGGGAGAGTGGGGTCATCAGGCCAGAACTGGGAAGAGGGAGGCCACCAGTTCAGACCTGGGAAATGGAACGGATCAGACGTCTCCCCTGGAATAGTACGACTAATCGTCAGATCAAACATGGAGTGGGGTGGGACATCCATGTCATCCTAACTAGCTCATCAATGATGGCTCGCTGGTCAGTTTAGGTCGGAAAGGAGCAGGACATGTTTGTTTCCGATTGATTCATTCCCGGCCAACCTTTACCAAAATCCTACAAAAGCTGGCAAATATTTGACTTGCCGGGCTCATTGTCGGGTGGTGTGCTACATTTAGTATGATTCTGGTATGCATGCATATATGTCTGCTGAGTGCCGGGTCCCACTAAGCCGGTCGATGCCGGTCAGCTCATTCCGGATTCGGCGGCATACACTAACTGAAGCCTCCTGACTTTCAATGGCGTGTCGCGATGACGCGCTGCCGTCGTCGCCCGGCCGGCGCCGCACCGTCGCCCCCGCTCCCATTCGGACAGACTTCCGGCTGATCAACGACCGGCAGGTGCTGGGACCTCGCGGCGGGACGGGGCGCGATCTATGCATAGCCGAATGTCGAACTCTGACTCATTTATCATGGCCCCGACTGCGAGTCGCGAGCTTAACTGGCTGGAAGGTTGATAAGTGTTCGGGAAGCATTTTATACGTGAGCTGTCAAAACGTCCTTATTCATTTTTTATTTTGCATGTCACTTTAAATATTGTAAGTACTGGCAGCTGAATGTCATATGAGACAAGTACCTACTCGAGAACAAATACGATAGGATAATGATTTGTGTGACTGTAACCTATAACTCTGATAATCTGTTTTTAAACAAAAAGCCTGACATCACTGCTATTTACCATTCAAACACCCTATTTGCTCAAATCTGGCGTTTAAGCGGAAAGACCCAGAAGGCGTGTCAATGGGCAGCTTGGCGCTGCGGGAGCGGACCGGCTCACGATGGCGGATAGAGGCTCATTTCCCGTGTGTGTTCCGGCCGGACCGAGTGTCTATTCCGGCGCGGCTGACTCACGGCCGCGCCGTAATTGGGTGCGGCCGCGTTACGGTGATGGGCCTGAACTCTGATCTCCCGTGCGCCCGCGAGCCCTCGCCGTCGCCAGCTTCCTGCCCGTGCTCTCGCCATCACCATCGACCTCAAAATTCACCTCGCATGCTTCATGGATCTCAAATTCGTCTTCTTGTCAACACCCTCGCCCCTTACCTTGCGTGCGCTTTCGAACTTCAATACGACCTCGACTTCGACCTTGATTTCGATTTCGCTAGAACCTTGCATTTATGATACCCATCGCCTTGCCTTTTTGTGACCTTGGATGGAAAATCTCGAAGGTCACCTTACAGCCGACAAATCGATCGGGGCACCTACCTTACTCTGAAAACTGACGGATTGGCTATTGAATCTTCTGGAAACTGCAGAATTTGTCACCTCGCTTTTCGATCGTCAGTGCATTCACCTTTCTCGGCTCGTCTTCTCCTGAAGTTGAACTATCCGGTCGCTGATCGTTGGCGTCAGTCATTTGACCGGTGAACAGCGCGCTGTGGCTGAGCCTGCTGGGAAATCATTCACCGGCCGCGGTTCGTCCGACAGCGCCGGGACAGAGCAGAGCTGGTCTATGTTCTCTCGGCTCTGTCCCGCTCTGTCATCTTATAAGGAAATACTAGCGCAGGGGACACATAACTTTTCCATAAAGACGGTTCATGCATCTATAAATTTATTATTGCAGGCTCTCTTTTCATTTTGTTGGAGGCGATGTGACTGCAGAAAATGCAAAGAACGGAGAAAAACAGGCGTTCGCTGGCTCTTGCCTGCCCGCGGACCGCGCTGACATCGGAAATAGTTTTTGTTCTACATTTCAGCTAAGTGGAAATACCGCAGCACTCAACGGGCGAGCAAAATGCAATCAGGCGCCGCTAACTGACGAAGTTCGCGGCGATCCCGTTGGCGATTAGAATTTGCCTCACCGGCGCGCGCGAGTGGGCGCCGCTTCTTTTGGCAGACACAATTCTGTTTAGATAGTGTCAGCAATTTGTCACAGAAATTAAATAGCGAAATGGTCCGATCGACCGGGCCGTGGCTGGCGGCTCAGCCGGCCCGGAGACGGTCCGGAACTGGCGAGGACGGCTCCAAATTACAGCACATTCAGCGCCGTGACAGTCTGCCGGGCCCGATCGACCGACCGGCTGGTAAAATCTGCCGACCACCGCGCCGGAACCGGTAACAGAGGTCAGCTTTAACACCAGCAACAACAGCTGGGACACGATCCATATTAGGCTGCATATAACTACCATGTGGTATTGTATGGAGAAAGTGGCTTCATCAGAATTAGAACTCTGTATAAATCTGCGAGTATTTTGTCTTGCACATATGTATGTAGGTACAGGTCAAGGGCCAAATGTAAATACCACATTGTTTTATACGTATTGCCATAGAAATGAAGATGTGCTAAGTTTATACCGCTTTTCCATCGTCAGTTCACTTTGTGTATTTTTTTTTTTAATTTGTGCAGATGAATTCGGTCACAGTGAGCTAAGAAGTGCCATCACCGATGGTGGCAGCAACACGGACCACCAGAGAAGCTCCCGGAGCTCACAGCAGTCAGACTCGCAGACGGGACACCTAAGTTCCGGCTGCTGCGCGGTCCTGGACTACACTGATGTAACGCGGTGCGCTGTTGGATGCTGGGCCGCAGATAGATAGCCTGGTGTTATATGTAGGCCCCCAACCCCAGCTCCATGACTGTGGTGGCCGACTGGACTGGAGCCCGCGCTCGCATGACGCCCGTGGCCGGCGGACACTTTGGACTAACCGCCTACACGGGAAGTCCATCTGCAGAAGATATCGCGAGCTATTTCCGCCCGTCAGACGCCCCTCCAAAATAACGACAGCGGTGACGTCACGTAAGCTGAGAGAATGACCACATTCAGTCGCTTTCATGCATTCAAATGGGTGCGTCCAGAAGCTGTGCTTAAAATTAGCAACAAACACGCTCCAAATGTAGTGAATTCAAATGGGCCGTGAACTACGTGTTTCAATATTTACCTTGCAACGGCTGGGCCGGCTGGTAGTCTTGTATTGACTTCGGGCTTGGGGACCGGGGAGAAGAGGCGAGGGAGGGGTAAGCTCCCTGCATCAAAGTTACCTGCGCGAAAGAGATGGAGTAAACGGCGGGCGGGGTGTTTTACGGCGACGAATCTACAGCGCTTTCTCTATGTACCTAGCACATCCGTAACAGGCCGCATTTCTTGCCAAAATCAGGCTGAATCTAACGGCGTTCTTACATATAGAATTATAAATGAATTCCCTCGGCCGAGACACCTGTTCTCTGCAGTCCATAGATAGTTCTGTCGGTGGCCAGCTCCTCTCCCTTCTGACTCCTTAGTCTAACTGATCCGTCCCCGCCGGTCGTCCGGAACCTTGAGCGGACGCTCTGTGACCGGGCGTCACTAGTCGCTCCGTCCTAGTACACCGTGCTGGATGGGCTGCCGCTGCGGACCCAATTCAGTCGCCAACTCCCGCGGGTGTAGCCGCCTGCCCTCCAATTACAAACGGGTGTGCTTTGGGCCCGCTGCCTTCAGCGATCCACTACTGTCACTATCCCTCTCTGTATCCAAGGCTCAGACAAGACGAGTTGTGTGAACAACGCCAACGCACGCTATTCTTGTATTCATTCTAAAACCTGCCGTGCGTTGTGATATTGATCCACGTATACTCCAACCAAGTGCATGAGTGCTAAGTGTGTAATTGTATGAGTGCTCGACCAAACACCCGTCTATGATAAGACTTCTTAGCTATGTCACTTTTAGGTCATCATTCACCTGCTTACGTATTATTCGAGACATTGAGGCCAAGTGTAAACAATACAATATCAGGAATAGAGTCACAGCTGGAGAGAAACTACCTATGTCCTTTAATAGGTAATGCAATTGAAAGGTTGGATATCATTTGGTATCTCAATCCCCTAAGCTGATTTGTATATTTTGATTCCAGCTCTCTATACCATTGCAATATTGCTGAATAATGTCAAGGCTGTTCTAATGAAGTACATGCCATTAGCTGCACTCCGATGGCGGGGCTGGCGGCCGATCGGGCGCCCGGTGTCGTTACTGTTTATGTACGATCTCATCTGCATGATATGAACATGTTACCAATCACGGATGCATCCTGATGAGCGCGCGGCTAACAAATGGCAGTTGGTGCCGAATCCCGGGGCCGCTGCTGGCTGAAAGCTGGCAACAAAGCGACAAACGGCCGGCCCAGCCCTGGCAACAAAACGGCAACGGGTTGTTGCAAAAGAAGTAGACATTGCCCTGCCTTAGACATTGCCAGACACTACAGACCGGTGGGCAGCGCGCAGCAAACTTGCATAACGAACGGCGTTTCTGCATATCGCACATTGGTTTCAACTTGACAGCCCTGCTCAAACGCATTGGCGCTAATTTGGCACCTTCCTTTACAGGCGCTTCAATCCAGAGTTGTCTGCTAACAAGGAGTGGACCACAGCACGAAGCCATGAGGCGTACGCCAAAAACTACGCGATGGTGTTTCCACACGACGAGCCTCTGGCGGGCAGGAACATGAGGAAGGACCCGCTGTACCAGGTCAGTCAATTGGAAGCCAAACGCTCCACTAAAGGAAACACGGGGAAATGGTGGTGCGTTTTCCGAAATACGGGAAGCCCTGCCTGCTGCTCCGGGCGGGTGCCCACACCTTCCCGTTAGCTAGCGCTCCTCTCTCGGCTCCCCGCGATCAGGTGAGGCCGTCGGTTTCCGCCCACGGCAGCAGGGCCGACTTCAGAGGGCCCGGCGGCTGGCGGTGACTGGCGATCGCACTGGCTCCATCACGGAAATCCGCGTCTCCCGGCCCCAGGAAACATCAACGGCCCGGTAACTTGCCGGCTGGGTTCACTGGCAAATTGATGCCGCCTGATAGCACCGGCCCGTGACAGTCGCATCGGCCATTCCGCAGTTATTACCACGCCGATGCCACAAGTTGTGAACTGTATCAATACCGTGCGACGTTTTATTGAACTTATAATCCGACTGTTCAGAACTTGTGCATCTGAAATCAGCGACGCTAATATAAGGTAATGCTTCCGAACTTCAGCACTTGAGTTGAATGCAGAACCCTTACAAACAGTAGCATTCCTCTTTTCCATGTGAAGTTTGACGCTGACGCAGTCGGGAACAACTTCAATGATAAATGAGCTCAGAGGGCCACTTCAGAAATGACAGTCTCACGATATTCGCTGATATGTTTGGATTAATGACATCTGCATCCGCTATTTAAATTTTGTAACAAATTCAACCTTGTATTAATAAAACTAAATGATATGCTTCATGTAATCATGTGTTCGCCTCTACAGTTTCTCAAACGTTCCAGGCGTATTGAGGCCAAGCTGTGAATGATTAGATCATGGATTGTTTCTCCAGCATGTAGCAAAATGCGCAAACCAATGTCCATCACCATCGAACTGCTTATAACAATGAACGACCAAGTATATGTAACTTTGTGACATTCTACACGTGCATTGAAGTCTGACAAATGTCAAGTTGTTGCGGGAGCCAAACTGCCTTCATTATCCCTTAGAGCTTTGGTGAAGTTACTGCAGCATAGAAGAAAGCTAGATAAGCACGTTTTTATTGAATTGCTAAACTTAGAACAGCAGTCATCTCTCACAGCCACAATATGATACATTGATACACGTATATACGGAATATGGAATCAGAATCGGATGACAATATTACGAAACAAGAAACTTGAAAATCACCGTTCGTTCAGACTCAGAGCTGGAAGAAGCACAATATCTCTAAACGTCCGTACCGTGCCTCCGAATACCACCTGCATGGCTCACAAGATATAATTACATCCTGGCAGCGTTCACAGCGCTCATTGCTGCGTTCATTAGGTTATCCCCGTCCAGCTAGAATTAATTAGGCGTCGTCCTTACATCATTATGGCGTATTATCGCTGGAGGCCGATAGGATAGGTACCTTTCATTACGCAAATCATGTTTTTTTCGACCCACTTCTCAACAGAGATGATCAAGTGCATAAAAGACTTGCACTTTAGCAAGGGCGTCTCTGGGGTTGTCTCGTCTCATCCATTCGACAATTGTGTATCTATTCAGGTCTGTCCTGAATTTTTGTCTGCCTGTCTCTCTGTCTGTCTGTCTTTCTGTCTGTCTGTCTGTCTGTCTGTCTGTCTGTCTGTCTGTCTGTCTGTCTGTCTGTCTGTCTGTCTGTCTGTCTGTCTGTCTGTCTGTCTGTCTGTCTGTCTGTCTGTCTGTCTGTCTGTCTGTCTGTCTGTCCGTCCGTCCGTCTGTCTGTCTGACCTGGTCTGACCTGTCCAGGCCCGCCTGCTCCCCGTCCTGTAGTCTGTGTTTTATCCGGCCGTCTGTCAGGGTCTGTCCGTCAGTGTCCGTGTCTGAGGGCCGGCCCTCTCGCCGCCAATCTGTGCCGCGTTTCCGGCGTCCATTGATCATGAGTGGCTGCTCACAAAGCCCCCGGGAGTGGCGGGGACTGGCCGACCCTCCCTACCTCCCTCCCTCCCCCATCCATGGGGAAGCCAGGGCGCCCACCCACATACAGCGGAGCCGCTGTCTGACGGCTGAAGGTCTGATGTGCCCTGTGACCTGACCTGACCTGACCTGACCTGACCTGACCTGACCTGACCTCCCCTGACCTGACCTGTCCCCCTCCTCAGGAGCTGCTGGAGCAGGGCTGCCAGTACCAGGAGCGGCAGGGCTGGGAGCGGCCCGGATGGTTCTGCCTGGAGTCAGGCCCGGCGCCGGCGCTGCCCTACGACTGGTACGGCGCGTACGACACACCCGTCCACGAAAACCACGTGTACGCCGACAACCTGAAGAAGGAGTACTCGTTCGACTTTCCGCCGCACCACAGCGTGGTGAGCTGGGGAGCACGGCCGGGGAAGTGGGAGGGGAGGATGGAGTGCCCGGGTCGTCGTGCAGACTGGCACCGAACACCGTCTGGTAACCGGACTTCGGTAGATAATGCTGGGGAAGTATCCTGCTAATACCACTTAGAAGATGTTTGAAAGTACCGTGTCTCATTCCCTGCTTTCATCTTGTAACACCCACCTTCCTGGCATTAACTGACCTCACTTACCCGTTTATTGTTAAACTCATCTGTAATTTTTACCGCAACCTCCCCGTCCGTCCGCAGATCCGTGACGAGAGTCTGGCATGTCGCACCACGGCGGCGATCTTCAACATGAGCTACTTCGCCAAGTACTACGTGACGGGGCCGGACGCGCAGGCGGCTGTCGACTGGATCTTCTCCAACGACCTGCAGAAGCCAGAGGGCTCCGTCGGTGAGTCGATGGCGCTGGTTGGTGTGGAACATTACTCAGTAATAGGGCCCACATAACGTGCTACGTTAACTTGTTATGGTTGCGATTCGAGTCTCCCCCTCGTCAAACCCGCGTGGTGGAATAAACTGAAAACAGACTTATGTAAGGTTCATTGTTTGTCAGCAAATATTGTAACACTCGCATTGAATCATTCTAATAAAATACCGAACTGTTTTGATTCGAACTGCTCTCGAGACAAAATAGTTGGCGGCGAGTTTAGTTTAGCTCTATGGCGCACTGCATGCCAGATCAACAACGCCACAGAGTGCCGCGTGTGTCAAGTGATACCACGCGTGACAGGATATGTCAACTCAAACCGGACCGAAGTGGCCAGCTGCTGCCGAGACTGCGGCGGCGTGGTCACCGACAGCCGTCAGGGACTGTCACCGACGACGGCCGTCGACCCGCTTCCGTTATCTGGGCGCTTGATTAGGCGCGGCTCTCCGACGGACCAGCCGCCGATCTGCGATCATGGCCCGGTAGTTCGGGGCGCCGATTGCGTGGAGAGCTTCCGGCCTCCTAATCTGCCGGTCGGGTGATGACCGAAATCGCGCGGAGACGCTGGATGGATGACTGTGACTCTGTGGATTAGGAAATGCATGGCCTTTGTGATACAAATGTGCGAGTTTCTCTTAAGAATTGCTTATTGCGGAATTAATTGTAATGGAAATTAAGAGATTTAGACCAACACTTATACAGAGTAAAGATAAAGCATGCGTTTGTCAAGCTCTTCATCGGCATTATATAGAAGCTGTCACCGGCCAGAATTCTCTTTGAACTCGTTCGAGGTATAGCTAGCTTCGCTTTACTGGGCGATTGGTATAAAAAACGTAAGAAGACGCAGGATTCAGTTGATGCATTGCTGTTGACAGATTCTGACCATAGCCGTCCATAACTGTCGCAACTGAACTACTCGCACAGATATTTGTGAACCGTGACAAAAACTAGCGGCCACTGCCCGCAGTGGATTATACCACATGCCTCGACCCCACACACTTAGGGCCTCGGCAAGGCCGGTCTTAGAGGAGGAATTACGTGAATCGCTGTATACAAGGAACTAGCGACCACCAGTCAGCCGTAGTCTAATGTTAGCGCGCTAAAGCTAAACAATCGGCTCTGGAATTACAATAAAGCTTGATATTGCTTATCGAATCCCCCGGAAACTCTGCTATTAGCGACCCGTTTGCATTTGGTGTGTAAACAGCATTGCTGTAAGCCTTCTGATAAAAGCCTTCCCTATTATTATAAATGAAACTATGAACGATTTCGACAGTGGTTGCGCGCTGTTTCTCGGTGCCCTGAAGTTATTACCTAGGTACTATGTATTTTGTAGTCCCTTGCAAGTGCTGGGATATTGCTCTTGTGTTGTTTTATTGAAAGCCGATGATGGTGCGCCTGTCTGCGTGTTTTGATGGTGTCCTCCTGTTTCAGTGTACACGTGTATGCTGAATAACCGCGGCGGCATCGAGTCTGATCTGACTGTCAGCGTACTGGAGCCGGGCCAGGGCGGCCCGTGCGACCCCTCCTTCCAGGTCAGTGGTCTCACGGCGATCCTCAAATGACGCTAACGCTACGTAATGGTCACCTGTCTGGGGAGAGCAGGCAGCCCAATCCAGCGATCTTTCGATTGGGACCGTCACCGGCCCTAGTCTCACCCGGAGGCTGCACATACCACCCCCGGTCCGAGCCGCATCTGATTCTCGGATCTCACGCGAACGCACAGCATTGTGAGCTGTCGCAAAGTTACCGTTACCTCTATACCGGCCCGGTGGGCCACAAACGTCACACCGGGCCGCCCCGGGACACATTTTCAGCTCGGCAGGCCTCGGTCCTGCGTCTGCGAACCGTCCCAAACGAAATTGATGGCGCGACCGCGCCGGAATCGCAAGTCGGTCTCCATTCAGCGTCAGGGCGACGTCCGGAGCATGTCAAATGGAGCGATCACCGATTGGGATTGTGCTATTGGTTAGCGGCGCCTTTGACGGCTGTATTAGGCTGGATATCGGCCCAATATATGGTGAATATCGTCCTTAGCCGACTCGTTTTGTCTCTGACAGAAATGAGCCAGACGGTGATAGCTCCCGACTGATTGAGACCGCCGCTGATAAAAACGGGGTAAGTTGGCTGAAGGAGTTGAACGATCGCCAGAAGTTAAGAAATCCTATTGTAGTCCTTTTGTGCTGGTATTGAAGATGCATGACTTTTTTAGCACTGCACCAATGAAGAGTGCTGTCCAATCGGAATAGTGGAATACTGCATATCTGCCTGTTATATCGGATATTCACAATGCATGGATGTCTTAGCGGAAGTTCCGCCCTAAAGTCACATTGGAAATAGCAGTGTTTGAACTGCACTCGGAGGCGTGGGGACAGGACGTTAATAGTAAGAGCCACTCTTCCAGTTTTAATTCATTGAAACACGTATACTGTCATGTGCCGGAAAGGCGTGCATCGGTTAAGCTCAAATGGCTGGGATGTGTGTATGTACGTTTTTTCTTCTTTGTTTATTGGTCTCGTCTCAGAAAGCAATCGCAGCTTCCCTGATCCCTCCATTCTATAGCTTTTCTGAGAGAACGCACGGTCTAAACACAGAACAAATTTCAACAAAGTTAGACTAAGTGATGCGTAAAGTTTCCCGACGCTACATCAAACTAAGCGTGGCCTGAATTGCTGACATTAACATACTCCAAGTGGAGCGTGCTACTGAAGCTCCACTCTTAAATGCAACGGCTATTGCACAAACGCCCAATTTTGCCAACTGAACCCCGTGTTCTGTTCCACGGAGTCGGCGCTGACATCGTGGACCGCTGCTGGTGCAGCAGTCATTGTATGATCGGTCAGCAGACTGGAAGGTCCGATGTCGGCGGATTTTCGTTTCCACGCCATTCGCCCTCTGTGGGAAGGGGCTATCTGGCCGGCTAACTCGCGGGGCGGGAGGGGAGGGGGCGGTGATGGACCCAGAGTGATGCCCTGAGTCAGGACCATTGGACTGACCCTCCCGGCACAGCCCTGTCCCAGCTTTGTGCGGCAGTATAGCACAACTCTGGACTGGGGCAGCACTGAGTGGGGCACCACTGCCCGCCTCCCCATCGATTTCCGATAAGTAGTCAATGGGGGCAAACTTTCCGAGTACGCTGGTCCAAAAATACGGGCGCGGGTGGTTATCTTGCATCGGTTAGCAGCGATTGTCATTATCTCCCCACATTAGATCGTCAATCTATTCGGCAGTGAAAGGAACGCTTAAGGCGATTTTAATGATTTAGTACTCGTAGCTACTGTCGATTTCTATTGAATTGCGACGGGTTAGAAAGTTCCTAGTGGTGTTGGCGCCATTACAGCAAATTATTTGAACTGACCCAGTCTGACCTAACATGACATCACCAAGCATGACATGAAATGACCTGATGTCATGAGCCCGATCTGATAATGTGACGTTTATGGTGTGACTCAGCATTACCCAGCCTGACCTGACCTCACTAGTAGTCCTTATGCTACACTAGCCAGACCTGAAATTTCTTCAGCAAGCTAACTTTGCGTAGGCTGTGAGACGCCGTCAGTACCTGCCGTCCAAATGCATTGAGATTCAGCTGGGGCAGTAACCTCTCGACCTCTTACCATGAGAACAGGTCGGCGATCTTTTCCCTGAGTTATATCGCTGACCTATCACAGAGTCCGATCGGGAACCGGGCACTAACTTTGGCCAACTCAGCCCGCAGGTTTACAGATAGGTATTTGAGCATCAAATACCATGGACGAAACGAGCCCGTTCATCGAGTTTACACTGATTTTATGCCACATAAAAGCTCGGAGACCAAACTTGTGCGTGGTATCCTCCAATGCAAACACACGCGACCGTTGAGATGAAACAGAACATCTTGTAGCGCGGGAGTCAGTAATGATTAGTGTGATTTTACCCCCTGCAAGTCCACTGCCAGCAGCTGAACTAAGCTCCCACTCAAAGCGTTTAACCCGCGCCCCAGTGGCGGTCTCGGCCAACTTCGCCCTAGTGAGGGGGGGCATATGTTACCACCCACCTCTAACTCAAAAACTAAGAGGGCTAGAAAGACGCGGTAAAAGGCAGTCGATAGCTCTCAATGCGTACGTTTGAGAGTATTTCGGTCATTTTTCACCTTAGAGCAATATTAGGGTCACCAGAGGTCATCAAAGGTCAAAATTTGCCAATTGTCATTATATTTTTCAGAAAACATGCCGCTATCTCAGGAACTATGGTAGCTAGAAAAACGCATGATAGAACAATCGATAGCTTTTGAACTCTTCTTTTGAAAAGGTCATTATCAATATTGACCTCAGGTCAACGGTTTAGCCTCCAGAGGGCAAAAACTCCAAAAATAGCTGTTTTTACGAAAAGTGTTTTTGGCCAATAACTTTCGACTACAAAAAGCCACGACATTTCTATTGCCAGAATCGTGTTCCCCTCACCGAGACGCGTCGAATGAACTATAATTTGACCTTGAAAGGTCAACTTGAAAATTTGACCTCAGGTCAAGGTCATGACCTGACCGGGAAAGGTCATGTTGCATATCAGTCGATGCGTCTCAACAAGACAAACACAATGAGACCATCCCTAGCGTTCTATCTCTTTCCAATCGCGAGTTATTGGCAAAAAAACTGTTTGTAGCCTCAAATGACCTCGGATGACCTTTCTAGAGGCTATCAGCAAAAATGACACCTTAGTCATCACGAGTGGACTAAATCATTGTGATTCTGAAATATTTGGACTGTTCCTATGCGTACACACGGATCTAGAGGCATTTTCATTTTTCTCCATTGACTTGTAATGGAAAGGTCATGCCACTGACCTGACCTTAGGTCACGGATATAAAAAATCCGAGATATACAAATTGTAGGCACCCATAACAGCATGCAATCCACCAAGTTTCAAACCTTTCTGACAAACACTGCAGGCTAGACATGATTGCAAACTTTTTTTTAAGGCTCGGTCAGTTAACTTGACCTGGTGACCTGACCTGACATGACCTGGGGTCAAAAATTTCACACATTATCCAAAATTGATGTACCAAAAGCTACCCCAAGCGGCGCGGCGCGTAGCGCCGCGGTTTTTTATTTACACGCAAAAAACGTGACGGGGTGGTAACATATGCCCCCCCCCCCCACTGGGGCGAAGGTTAACACCGACGGATGCCCAGACCGAATAGATTCAATGCTAGCCGGCCAGCCAGCCACTTTCGTTATTTATTTTCATAGGATGCGCGCCGCCAGAATTTTAACCGGCTCCCAGACAGCTGTTCAGCCCACTATGCTAATCAGAGCACCGTAACACGATTCGCGAAATGAACGCCGACATGGCCTCATTGTTGGTCGGCCGCGCCGCCGAGGCGCACTGCCTCTCAACAGTGGTCGTTTGGGCCGAGTTGGCCGGCGTCGGGCGGCTGCGGCGGGTCGGCGGCCTGCCTCCGTCTGCGGCGGGCCCCGCAGACCTGCCGTGATACGGCCGTCCGAATGGACACCATATCGAGTTAACGCGCCGCTGAACCACGCGCCGCCGCTGCCGCCGACTTTGGAACGAGTTTTATTTGCCCGTGCGGCGGCGGTCGACACGGAGCGCGCCCAGCCATACAGTCGATCGTCAGACGACCGGAGGCATTGTGACGCTACTGGCACGGCGGCGCCACGGACCGGGCTGTTCTTGAACTGCCGGTGCTTTTATTGGACCATGCGGTAGGACAGTGGCGACCACTGGGAGATCTGCGGCTGTCCCAACGCTGTTGTAACGGTTATCGATATTGCAAAATTCCATATTTTGTTACCATACCACTCGTAACCTCTCACACCATTCAGCTCTGCCGCTCTGGCCGACCCGTTCCCACAGCCTCCCACACCCGCCACTCTGACGGGGTCAGGTACCGGGGCTGACGCGATGATCAGATTTGCCCGGTGCGTCGGCTGGCGGCCGATCGGCATTGAGGCTGTCCACGGAGGGTGAACGGTGAACAAAGGTGGCGGTCGAGCCATTACCGCCCGCCGGAGACGCCCTGGATCCGGACCCGGACTCCCGACCCCGGACCCGGGACCCCGCAGTGGCAGCGGGCGGTCACTGACCCATATAGGCGCCGGCCGAACCGCCACCAGGGACGCCCGGTATGATTGTAGTAGGTACTTAATGGTTAGCCTGTGGGGTCGAACATCAGTCTGGAAACGCCTGAGGTCAGTGGGTATAACCAATCATAGGACTGACTGGAAAATAAAATGCAGACGTTTCTACTAAACTGAGTAAAAATATTTTGTTTTGCGTTGCTGTGCTACAAATGCGTAAATATCTAATACCAACATGTGTTTTTTTTTTTCAATTAATCTTCTTCCAGCAATGCTCGAATAACTTATACCATAACCCAGTAATAATAAAAAGAAATAGAAAGAGAGCAGGAGGAGAGAGAAAGACAGGGAAGAGCAAGAAAAGCAGTGATGGAGAGAGATGAAGATGGAGAGATACAGCAGGAAAATGAACAACGGCTGAGGTGTCTTAGAAACCTATGGATTTTAAGAATCCATCTGATATCTGGCTCTACAGTCGATCTTACACACCTCCCTCCATTTACCGCTCACAAAGGAGCTCACCTGCGCTATCATTCATAGGCGCATTACGATCCCGGCGGATTCCGAGGCGTTATAGCTCCGACTGGCCATCAGATGCCCGCGCCATGGGGGCCGTGCATTTTTCATCTGCCATCAGAGCCGGCACGCAGCAAGCTCGGTCCGACTATGCGTCCAATCAGGGCCGCCGGCCGAGAGCGCTGTGTGACTGGCCAGCGAGTCTGACTCTGGTGAGAGAGACTGACTCCGAGAGGAGCGTCGGACTCCGGCGGGAGCTCAGCCGACCACCAGTCAATTATAACAGCGGTACGCTTCTGACGAGCCGCCGCGGCTAACAAACCGACCACAGCGTTCTCAAGTGTCGGCCCACGGGCACGAAAAATGCAGTTCGCGAATTACGTTGATGTGCTTAACAGAATGCTTCCTTAAATGGGCACTTGAAATAAAGTTTGTAACTCCTGGCCATATATCTCCTCTTCACGTAATTGACAATGTCGTGTAACTACTTATATATAGCCCAGTAACAGTCATCTTGTGAAATTCTAGTGCATATTGCCTTGCGTACTTACCAGAATTCATTTGTATGTACATATTGTGTGCATGTAACTATGTATCTATTTACAATCATGAGCGATCCACACATACCGTGGCCATTACCGCTTGGCTCGTTATAGGTATGCCTTATTTTACACACAGTCCGCATGTCCGCATGTAATTAAAATCCCACTTGTAAAGTGATAAACTGCTTATTTGTTCTTCAGCTTGCCTTACGTCAGACGAGCCTTTCTTTTGTTTGTCTTCAATGTGGTGCACGCTACTTCCCATACACACATTGCTTGCTTAGACTTTAGACTTTAGAGTTTGTACAACAGCAGTTCTTGGGGACTTCAAAAAGTTTAGTTCTACACTTCAAGCATGAGTATGATTAAATCCAGCGCAGAATAGTCGGGAAAACATCAAATTGAGCTCGTGCTGGCAATGCAGATGCAAACTTGTCCTCCACTGAGCGTGCTCAGTGAACTAAAGAAACACAGGATCCGGACCTAGCCTCCTAGCAGGATTCAGCATCGGCAGACCCGCCTACTGGTCACCATCCATATGTGCTTGGTTTGATTGCGTTAACAGATGTAGTGCGAGCGGCGGGCGAACTGTTGATCCGGTGTCAAGCCTTGCGGAACAGTATACATTCCAGGCGCATACACTACTGCCATCTTGTGGCAAAGATAACAGTTATTCACGTCTTCTCTGGATCCGCGGCTCTTCCGTTCCTTTGTGCACGTACCGAAATATCTGAGTTATCTGATCTGTCCATGGCGCTGTAATGGAACGATCCTGTCTCGATCGCTGTCTCCTGGGCCTGCGGTCCGGCATTGCCTGCTGACCGTACCGTTCCCTTCTTCTGACGGGGTGCCTGCCCTCTGCCATAGGGTCGCGGCTTCTACGTGGCCGTTGGCGGCGGGTTTGCGGAGCACGTGAAGGCCCACATGGCCAACGCCATCCAGGACCGGGGCCTGAACGTCACTCTGACTGACCGGTCAGAGAATATGGGTCTGCTCTCCGTGCAGGGACCAAAGAGGTGAGGCGGCAATGACGAAATGGATATTGGTACTTGGTTTGTATTCTTGAATCAGTTGCACTATCAATTGAAGTTGTTTGTGCTCAGAACATTGCAGGTGCCAGGAGGCTGTGCAGCCTATATGTGAAGTAACAAAGTACGTCTGTTTTCCCGCGAGTACTGCATGTTCAATGATCCCAGTGACGACTCCTGTCCCACCCGCTGACGGTGACTCTCCCTCCCTCCGCCAGTCGCGCCATCATGCAGAGTCTGACCTCGACCGACCTGAGTAATGAGACGTTCCCGTTCGGCACCACTCAGATGGTGGATATTGGCGGCATCCGATGCCGCGCGCTGCGCCTCAGCTTCGTCGGCGAGCTCGGTACGGCTGGGTGGTGGGACCGTGGGCTTTACGGAAGTGTCGATTATGGGGTCGTTTTGTACTTACCCGGCTCGGTATACGACACGTAGGGTCGGGGTGCTGAACGGCTGATGGGCATGTTTCGGCAATGAATTTATCATGCTGATGGCGAATAATCGAAACGCGTTCAAGCTAAATTTGTTCCGTGCTCTACTTGTTATCTGGTGTGTTTTTATCAAACTTTTCTCTAACAATCAGCGTTACTCATTCAGTGCAGCCGGGGAATTTCAATTCTCTCCCATCCTTCTAGTTCTGTTGCACTGTGGTGTTCTGCTCTGCAAATGGAGGGGTTTCCCAACCCCGATGGCTGTTGGGCTGCCAGAATGTGGCAGTTTTATTATTCCACCACAGACGCCGACAGACAAATTCACAGCGTTTGGTCCTGTCACGCATCCAAATAACTCGGTCCTATGTGGGTCTGCTCGGCGAGGTTAACTTCATTTGATCTCCCAGTCCCGGAGCTTTGTGGTGCTGGAACAAAAAAAGATGTCGAAGGAAGAATATTGCAACCCATACGTGCGTCAGCTGAACTGATCAATTGCACTATGTTCTTCGAGGCACGTACAAGGTTTAACCCGCGCCCCGCTGGGCTATTCAGCCATACGCGCCCTGCTGGGGGGGGGGGCAGATTCTGCCCCCCCCCCCTGTCTAACTTCCGAACCGATGGTCGTAGAAAGACGGGGAAAACGGCAATCGAAAGCTCTCAACAAGGCGGATCTTAAGAGCCCAAATTTTTTTGCTTATATAGGTCAGAGGTCAGGTCAAGGTCAGGTCAAGGGTACAAAATGCAAGTTTCTACAGTATCGGCCTTGCACCGTAGTTGCCGAAGAATGGACTGAGACTGATTGCCCAAAACGTGTTCTTAGACTACCAAGACAATATTCGTTGCACACAATGTCATTCAAAGGTCAAGGTCAAGGTCAGGTCAGGTCAGGTCAGGTCACCAAAAACAAAATATAGAAAAGGGCATGTGCGACACATGTTTTATGGGTCATTTTACTCATAGAATTCAATAGGCACACTCAATAAGTGATATGGACCACCTCTGGATGAATTTCAGGTCGAGGTCAGGTCAAGGTCAGGTCAAGTGAGGTCAAATTTTGAAGTTGGTTGTTAAGGCCTACAAAGGTGTCTATCTGATGCAGTTTTTCACGGCGAATCGAATGGTGCTATTTTTGTTTCCGTACGAGGTCTAGAACTTCCAAAAAAAAATCATTTTAAAATTTTTTTTGTGTGTCATGACGTCATAAAATTTTGAATAACTCCCACATTTTTGAACCGATTCTTCTAAAAATTGGTATGTAGGTGCTCATAGACCAGTTCTCTGACATATATTCCGGTTTTTTCGATACACTCAAAATTTTGGATTTTATAATTATTTTCCCAAAAAAGTCAGTTTTTTGAAAAAAAATTGGGCAAAAATCCAAAATTTTTAAAAAACCGAGATAGCCATTTGATAGACAAAGTAGAATCACGTATAACCTTTTTTGTTACGTCTTGATTCCTTTAAAAATGAAGATGTTAGCGGCGTTGGAAATTTTGCCGTTTTTTAGGCGAAAATTGCGAACATGACGTCACTAAAACGTCAATTTCTCAAAAATTTTCCGACGGATTTCGCTCAAATTTTCAGGGAACGTGTCAAATTGATGTATGATAAGGTACTGAAAGTTTGACGTCGCTGGCGTAACGCGTTTAGAAGTTATTGGCGAAAAACGGGAGGGGGCAGATTCTGCCCCCCCCCCCAGCGGGGCGCGGGTTAATGCTTGTTTCTGTCTGGCGGCGTTACAGCTGGTTTTAGCCTCGCACATCTCCCCGATCGCAATGTATGCTGCCGATCTGACCTGGCCTGACCTCTGCCCCAGGCTGGGAGCTGCACATTCCCTCCGGCGATCTGGTGACTGTCTACCGCCTTCTGAAGGCTGCCGGCGCCGAGTTTGGCCTGAGGGACGCCGGCTACCGGGCGATGGACAGCCTGAGCGCCGAGAAAGGTCAGCAGCGGAGAGGGGAGGGGAGGGAGGGGAGGTGGACAGCCCACTGAAGTGGGCCAGACTCGCAGCGATAGAACGCCGACGGAACGGGAGGCTCAGCTGGCAAATGGGGTCGGTCTAATCGGGGCTATGACATTTCACCGGTCACGTAAAATGGGAAGTGAGAGTAGCGTTTAGCTGCCGACTGTGAAGGGTTGATAGTGACCGTCGACATTTGAGCTGGTGTTGCCTGAAGAGGCACCATCAACTGCATCGATGACGAGCACGTGTCCGATTGTGGTTTAGCTGTTTATCACCCACTTCCTTGTCTATCGTTGCAAAATTTCCTTATTGACTAACTCGCCGCACCCGATTCCGCGCACAGGCTACAAGCACTGGCACGCCGAGATCCGGCCGGACGACAAGCCGCAGGAGGCCGGCATGCTCTTCACCTGCAAGCTGAAGACGGACCAGTCGTTCGCCGGCCGGGAGGCCGTGGAGCGTCAGAAGGCGGAGGGCGTCCGTCGCCGGCTGGTGACCCTCAGCCTGCCCCAGCCGCGCGCCCTCTGGGGCCTCGAGGGCATCTGGATGAACGGGGCGCCGGTCGGCTTCGTGCGCCGCGCCGAGCACGCGTTCGCGCTGGACCGGATGGTAGCCTACGGGTACGTGCGGCGGCCGGACGGCGGCAAGGTCACCAACGCCTTCCTGCGGGAGGCCGTCTGGGAGCTGGACGTGATGGGGGAGCGGGTGCCGGCCGAGCTGCACCTGAAGGCTCCGTTCGACCCGCAGAGTCGCCGGCTGCAGGGCGACTACGGCGAACTGGACGGCGAGGTGGTGCGCGCAGCCGTCTAGGAAGGTCGTGGGGACAGGGGTGGGGAGGTGGTGCGCGCAGCCGTCTAGGGAGGCCGTGGGGGCAGTGGGGTGGATGGGAGGTCATGGTCCGCGCAGTGGTCTAGGCGGACCACAGGCGCGGTGGGGTGGACGGGAGGGAGGGACAGGACGGGAAAATGAAAGCAAATGTAGGGGGACGGGTAGTTTTGGGAAGGTGTGTGTGGGGACTAAAGGAAGGATTCAGAGCGGGGGATGGACCGGGAGAGGAAAGGGGGACATCAGAGTAATTGGGACGGGACATAAGACGGTGATGACGAAGCACGTGAACGTCCAAACATCCGAACACCGCCAACACCTTTTACCGTCGATGGGTTGCGATGGCTCAACGATTGGCTGATATGAGAAAACTATATGGATTGGATAGGAAATCCGGTAAAGCTAGTGATAGGAGAGCATTTCGAGCATCACAACATCCTGAACTGCTCGCGAATGCCGAGACATTCCCAATTTTCGCAGCGCAGGTTTTTCGGCACACTAAGCGGAATGCCTATCCCACGAACTCACTCGTAACCCCTCACTTCACTATGCTAGGCAATTTCAACCCACATTCTGGCTTGTGGCAATGAGCATGCCTTACTCGGAGGTCTGTGGTGGCGTAGCGTGAAGCGCAATGTATCTGAACGGATATGTGAATCTAGTAGTTCGATAATTGGATCGGTGTATGTATGGCTGTTGCTGACCGACCTGGCTCTCGCTGGTCGGCGGTGCTTAAGCACGTTAAATGCGCACAAATGCAATCACTAGCTGTATGATTATATAGCCATTGTTATTTTACGTTAATAACTAGTCGCTATTGTTTGTATTGTTTACTGCATATTGTTCTGTACCCCGTAAGTTATAATGGTTTGATATTTAGTTATAATGGCCAGATTCACCAGGAGTCTGCGAGAATTAGCATGTTTGCATCAAACCGCGGTATCTTACCGCGGTTATGAGTAATTATCTTTTGCTGTGTGCTACGGTCACTGGATATAGTTGTACTGCTACGTTTTAATGGCTCTAATGGTGCAGTGCTATAAGTGCTATACAATAGAGCGCACAATTAGGCATGCTTCCTTGGGTCGGGCTCCAATACCGAACGGATGCGGAAGACATGACATGAGCTCTTCTGTAGACAGCAAGGAAGCAGCATGTGTAACGAAGCAATGCAATACCTATGGTAATTAAGCGCTGCAGTTGAGTGGTGTAACTGGATCTGTGTTTGTTACTCTAATGGCTATTTCGAACAGCTAATTATTTATTTGGTGAAGAATCGTGTGAAACAAATATGTCGGCATCTAACACAGTCCCACGACCTTAGTTACCTAATACCACGAGGCTGCTGGTATATTCGGCGATCGCATTAACACCAATATTCGCAAAAGCAGCTGTCTCCTCATCAGTATAATGTGAAGGTGAATGCATGAGTGCTACCAGTACCACTGTAGATTTAGCCGGAGTGCAAACCAGTGCTTCGAAAGAATCATTACTGGATGTGTTTTCATATTGAACAATGCATCCAATTGAATCGTGCGATCTGGCTTCAATCTGTTGTTTATATTTTAGTTTTCGCAATGCAATGGTTGTATAATTGCACATGCTCTGTTTGCTGTTTTATATTAGTTGTACGTTCACCATCCGCCGGTGTATTAAGCCTGTATTTTGTATGATTTTGTGGGTGTTCGACATAAGCACCGTTTCTGTGTAATAACCGCAGGTTGTTTGAAAATGACAAACACTATTCGTTAGAATTGTGTTTTTCTATTGAAAAACAACCGGAGCGGTCGTTCTCCGGGCTATGTTTGCAAAGTTGGCCTGAGATTGGGGCAACTTGACGGGGGCCTAGACGAATCGCTCAATTTCCGTAAAAAGTTCAGAGTATGGGCTCCCGCAGGCGATCTACCTGATGGCACCGGTCGCTACTCGCTAAAAAGTCTTTTGCGCGTGGCACGTGCGATTCCATTTTCCCCATGTTAAGTCAATGGGGTTTTGGACACTTTTTGCGCGATCGCGAATGGCGGGAAAACGAGCCAAGGAAGAGGTGGTTTTCTTCCGAGCATTTTATGGCAAACACGTTCCGGTACACGCCAGTGTGCGCTGTATACCCGTCAGAATCTCGGAACGTGTCTTTGCACGAGGTCAAAGTTGGAATTTTGCTGTGTCCCATGTTAAGTCAATGGACGGCGATGTCGAGCCTTTGCAGAGACATTTTCATTCGATCTTTGTACAAAATTTTAGAGATAGATTTCGCCCAAACTCTTATATCTTGTAGAGGAAAGAGCATAGTACATGCTGGTATGCTTCGCTAAGCTGGCAGAAATCGTTTTTTCTTATAAAGTTAATTTGAAATTTTAAATTTTTAACATGGAAAGTCAATGGGAGCGTCTTTGTTGCTTAATAACTTTTTACGTTGCAGATATACCAAAGTGAAAAGTTAATAAAATATACAACTTTCGATGCTCTTTCCAACAATGTATAGAACGTCACTGCACGATGTGCCGTTTTTAAGAAAAGCTGTAAAAAAGCAGGGCTCGACTGTGACTTGAACCCAACCACATTAGAGTATACGAACAGGTGACGGCGATACCTCCCGTGTGCGGATGCGACACTGATTATTTGCTAAATATTAACAGTAGGCCGCCTGTGGGATGCCTTTACAAACCTTATATCTCTGCAACCACTGGACCGATTCACTCGCGGTCTTTTGTGTGGGATAGCTTCTTCCTTTCTTACACGTAGTGTGCTGTTCTTGATGCGTATGGGTGACCCCTAATGCGCGTGCCACGTGCAAAACGAAGAGGTGTCAGTTAGGTAACAAGTCTAATAACTCTGTAGTTAGTTTGCCGATTGCGCTGATACTTGGCATGGTTGTAGGCACCTGCCGCGCAATGCATTTCCATGTGTCGCGGTTGGGGTGCCGCTGCACGTGCACACGTGCAGGGTGACGCTTCCAGATCTCGAGAACGGCTGGGCCGATTGTGATCAAAGTTGGCACACCGTTAGGGATCGGCGAGCAGGGTGCCGTGCACAAATCAGATGGCACTCATCTTGCACGTGCGCACGTGCAGGGTGACGCTTCCAGATGTCGAGAACGGCCGGGCCGACTGTGCTCAAATTTGGAATACCACTAGAGACTGGTTAGTAGGGTGCCGTGCACAAGTCAGTAAGTATGTATTTTCATGTGCCGCGGTTGGGGTGCAGCTGCACGTGCACACGTGCAGGGTGACGCCTCCAGATCTCGAGAACGGCCGGACCGATTGTAGCCGAACTTAGCACACCGCCAGAGATCGGTAAGTAGGTTGCCGTGGAAAAGTCAGATGGGACCCATTTTGCACGTGCGCACGTGCAGGGTGTCGCTTCCAGATCTCGAAAACGGCCGGGTCGATTGCACTCAAATTTGGCACACCGCTGTAGACCGACGAATAGGGTGCCGTGCACGTCAGTCCGTAGCACACCGACTCCGGTCTGCACGTGCAAGGCTCATCCTCTCGTTTGGTGGCGGGCGTTTTTGCTGCGTTTACAAAGGTGCTTGCTCAAACAACCTGCGGTCCCGCGATGCGGAGCCCGGCATCGCAGATGCCGGTAAATTGTGATAATTGTGACAAATGCATTTGCGAGCAGGTTATCAATCGATGATTGGGTGTTCGCAATGTGCCATAACCGCAGGTTGTTTGAAAAGACAAACACTATTCGTTAGAATTGTGTTTTTCTATTGAAAAACAACCGGAGCGGTCGTTCTCCGGGCTATGTTTTGCAAGTCTGGCCGCGAATTGGGGCAACTTGATTGGGGCCTAGACGAAATGTACAATCTTCGTAAAAGGTTCAGTGTATGGGCTCCCGGAGGCGATCTACCTTATGGCACCGGTCGCTACTCGCTTAAAACCTCGTGGCACGTGGCACGTGCGATTCCATTTTCTCCATGTTAAGTTAACGGGGTTTTGGACACTTTTTGCGCGATCGCGAATGGCGGGAAAACGAGCCAAGGAAGAGGTGGTTTTCTTCCCAGCAATTTATGGCAAACACGTTTGGGTACACGCCAGTGTGCGCTGTATACCCCTCAGAATCTCGGAACGTGTCTTTGCACGAGGTCAAAGTTGGAATTTTGCTGTGTCCCATGTTAAGTCAATGGACGGTGATGTCGAGACTTTGCAGAGACATTTTCATTCGATCTTTGTACAAAATTTTAGAGATAGATTTCGCCCAAACTCTTATATCTTGCAGAGGAAAGAGCATATTACATGCCGTTATGCTTCGTTAAGCTGGCATAACTCATTTTTTCTTTTAAAGTTAATTTGAAATTTAAATTTTTTAACATGGAAAGTCAATGGGAGCGTCTTTATTCCTCTATAACTTTTAGCTTTAGTAAGATATATAGGTGAAAAGTTAATATAATATACAACTTTTGATGCTCTTTCCACTGATGCATAGGACGTCACTGCACGATGTGCCGTTTTTAAGAAAAGCTGTAAAAAATCAGGGCTCGACTGTGACTTGAACCCAACCACATTAGAGTATACGAACAGGTGACGGCGATACCTCCCGTGTGCGGATGCGACACTGATTATTGCTAAATATTAGCAGTAGGCCGCCTGTGGGGTGCCTTTACAAACCTTATATCTCTGCAACCACTGGACCGATTCACTCGCGGTCTTTTGTGTGGGATAGCTTCTTCCTTTCTTACACGTAGTGTGCTGTTCTCGCTGCGTATGGGTGACCCCTAATGCACGTGCCACGTGCAAAACGAAGAGAAGTCAGTTCGGTAACAAGTGTAAATAACTCTGTAGTTAGTTTGCCGATTGCGCTGATACTTGGCATGGATGTAGGCACCTGCCGCGCAATGCATTTCCATGTGTCACGGTTGGGGTGCCGCTGCACGTGCACACGGGCAGGGTGACGCTTCCAGATCTCGAGAACGGCTGGGCCGTTTGTGATCAAAGTTGGCACACCGTTAGGGATCGGCGAGTAGGGTGCCGTGCACAAATCAGATGGGACT